AGGAAAGGCTAAAATAATGACATGAGATGGTAAAACATTGCTAGGGATTATTCACCTTTCTTATAAAGTCTATGAACATTTTCTCTTTTGTAGAAGCCGAGTTTTTGGGGTTTTTTTTTATCTTAGTTACGGCTTTGGTCGTATGAATTATTGTGTGTGATCACAGAACAGCCGAAAAACAAATAGAATGAGTGTAAAACCTCTGTAATTGGCCACAGTGGCTTAAACACTAAAGTAAATGGAAGAAAATCCCTGATTCGCTGACGTGGAGCAGCAGCGGAGGGAAGTTAGACGCACTGAGCCGTCAGTTCCTCTGGGTCCTGGCCTCTTAAACAATTCCCACACACTCCCCGAGATTCCCAGCAGTGGAAGTGTTTTGTTCTGCTCTGCTGAGTGGAGCTGAGTCACTGCAGGAATCCTGCAGAGAGTTTAGTGTCAGCGCAGAAACAGAGCCATTTAAACCCACGGAGCGGAGTCGTCTCTGAGGATTCATTTACAGGCAAAGAAGATTGAAATGTGGTCGAACGAGGCAAAGCGAGGCCTAGAATTTAAGTGACACTTCTCTTAACTCCATTAGGAGGCGCTCTACGAAACGCACCGGCACTGGGCTAGGTCAGAAATCGGCAGGATGTACTACTATTTTTTTTTTTTTGTCTACTATTTTTATCTCTTTCATTCATTCCTGTTTTTCTTTTATCTTCCTCTTCTCGTGTTTACTTGTTTCCTGTTTTCCTCTAATAGTTTTTTCGTGATTCCTCATTTTAACTGAGCTGCTTGTAGTTCTGATTTATCTTTTTTTTTACCCAGCACAGCTGTAACAGGAAATAACCCCAGAGCTAGCTACTTGCATTGTTTGTTTGACTAAATTTAGAAAAAAAAAAATTCTTAAAAATAATACATTTAGGTTAAGAAATGTTTGGTTAAATGTTAGAAGGAAATCACTAAAAAAAAACGACACAGGAAAAGATTTTTCAAGCTAAAATTTTAGTTTTTTTTTTACGACACTTCTTTTTACTCCATTAGGAGGCGCTCTAACTCAAAAAATGGCACCACGCTAGGTCCGAAATCAGCAGGATCTCAGGGCAAAAAAGAAAACTCTCTTCTGATTGGCTCTTATTATCTTATTATCTATTTTACATTCAATCCTGTCTACTTGTTTCCTTTTAATGTTTTTTTTTTTTCATAGTTTTATCTATTTTACATTCAATCCTGTCTATTTTCTTCATAGTTCTTTGTGTTCATTTCTCGTTCGGTCGTTTTTTTTATTTTTTTTTTCTCCAATGTATTTTTCATGATTCCTTTTCTTAAATTCCATCTTCTTTCTATTTTCCCTTCTGCTTCATCTGCATCTTTTTTTATTTTTCTCCCGTTCCTTCCACATTTCCTACTCTTTCTTTACTCTCATTTCCTCTCTGTCGCAACTTTCCTGTTTTTCCCTGTTGTTTTTTTTTTTTTTTTTTTTGGCCCCCGCACAGTGACCCATCAGATTATTCATTTCGAGAATTGAAGGATCTAATTATAGTCGTAAATATCACATTTTTGAACAGGAAGAAGATCTTTTTTGTACCCATCGCTTCCTAGTTGTTCTCCATTTCTGTTCTTTCTACATTCCTTCCTCCTTCCTTCTTCCGTATCCATTTCCTTTCCTCTCTTCCCTCCAGTTTTCTCCTTTACGTTTACTTTGTGATGCTTGTAATCGATTTATAAGGTCCACATTTTCTAAAGGCTTGTTTCCATTTTTTTTTTTTTTTTTTTTTTTACTGTGCTCATTTTTCTCTTCTCTCTCCTCATTTACTCTGTTTCCTCACCACATTGCTTTTCTCTTTCATCTCCTCCCACACTTTTTTTTTTTTTCCTACTTTTCCCTTTAAAGCGGGATGTCTGCCTTTTTCACTTGATTTTCTCTTTCTTCTCTTCCCTCGACCCCCTGCGTAGATGTTATTTTTTTAATTCATCTTCCTCCGTTCTGCTTCTTTTTTTTGCAGAGGGATGTGGGAATCGAGCTGGACAACCGTCTGGACGAGCGCGGTTACTGCTGCCAGTACTGTCAACGCGGCTATCGCTACTGCCGCCGTTACTACGAGCCTCTGGGAGGATTCAACCCGTGGCCGTACTACTACCAGGGAGGGAGGGTCATCTGTCAGATCGTCATGCCGTGCAACTGGTGGATCGCCAGGATGCTGGGACGGGTCTGAGGAACATTTGAGGAACATCTGAAAGTTGGGCTGAGGAGGTCGAGTCTGGTTATGTGTGTCTATTTTTCAAACGGTGAATAATACAACGCCTTTGATAGAAAGAAGAAAAAAAAAAAAAAAAAAAAAGAGTCACTAGCCTCACATTCCAAAAAAAAAAAAAAAAAAAGAGTCCACTAGCCTCACATTCTGAGAGTTGGTCCACTGACTTTCAGTCTGTGTAAACAGTTCAAATAACCACTGAAAAATCTTTGGTAGAAAACTGTGGAAATGGCTACAATTTCTTTTCTTTTTTTTTTTTCTTTTTTTGTCACTGTAAACCAATTTGTCTTTTAGTAATATTCTTTAACTAATAATCTGTTTTCTTTCTGTTTTTACTTGTTACAGAAAGAACATAAATATAGCAAAGTAACACGTGTCAACATGTCAAAAAGCGGTTCTTAAACACATTTTGCGAAACCGTGTGTGAAGTTAAATAGCACTAATGATGCTTTTAATTTAGCCTTGGGTTAAAAAGCAAAAATCCCTGACAAAACATCGTAACGCCAACAGAAACAAGCAGCAGAAAATATACACTTTTAGTGTATAGTTTTTTTTAGTTTTTAATGCTCCTGTAAAATTTGACCTTTGTGTACTTTATCCTAACCTGAGCGTTAGCATAGCTAAGCTAAGCTAAGCTAGGCTAGGCTAGGCTTCTGCAAATCAACTTTCTCCATCTAGGACATTTGACATTTGAACGGTATATTCCATTTGCGTGTAAAACAATTCTGAAAGTTCTGAAAGATTATACATTTGAAATAAAGATTAGGATTGTTTTTTAAAAAAATAATTCCTACAACGGTTTAAATAAATATCATTATTGGAAAGGTTATCACTTTTAATTTGTTTTTACACTAAATTATGGACAGTATGATGTTTCTCCGGGCTATTTTTATCTAATATTCTTGACAGAAACTTTTTTTTGTTTTTTTTTATTATTGTTTGTTTACGCATTCTGTTTTTAGCTCTGACTCATTTTGTCAGTAAGGAAGACACATCTTTCTTTTTTTTCTCCGTTTGTCACGAGTTTTATTATCGCAACCTTTTTCTAATAAACTTAATCATTTTGACAGGAAAACAATCAGCCGCCTTTGTTTGTTAGTTTTAATAACGTCAGACCCTCCGCAGATGGAGAACACAGTGTTTTTTACAGCCGCGCGCACGTTTTCCCCCCCTTTCTGCTCCGTCAGTGTGGACGTTGATTCAGTCTGATAATAAAATCAGCGAGACGGAGAATATATACGGCGGGGACACTTGATTTAATGTAAAAACAGGCGCAGACAAATCAGTCTGTGTGAATATTTCATGGAAAAAGCTCAAATGTGCACTTTAGCCGGCGCTCGTGTTGTTAGTTCTTAAAATCAATAATGTCAATGGCCCTGAGCAACGACAAAAAAAAGGAAGAAAAAAAAAAATATAAAAATACTGACGTGATTTAACAAATGCAATAATTACACATGTACTTCAAATGAACTGACACGTGTGCCGAGACTGAAACGCCTCAGGCAGCTGGAAGAAGTTCATAAAATAGATTTGACATCAGTCATTCCTTAGTCCTTGCCTCTCCGTCAAGTCCAATTATTATGCGTTTATTGAAAAGAATGTGATCTACGTGTCTGTGCCTCTGCCTTAGACACGGGTTTTTTTTTTTTAAATTTTACAGCAAACGATTTAAGTGGTAAACAACGTGAAGCTTAAAATTAGAAAATAGATACGTCACGGTTTAAGTCGGTACTTCTCAAATAGTGGGGCGGGGCCCCTTGAGGAGGTCCCAGGGGGGGGACGTGAGGGGCCTCTAATGGAATGTGGCAACACTGCTGTAATGCTTGAATGATAACAAGCCTCCAGTCACTAGGGGGCAGCAACTCGCACAGTGGTTTGTACAGATAGAAATATACACGTTATCGGGTTCTCAGTAGTATTTCAATTCGTGGGGGTGTGGGTCGGAGGAGGGATGTGAAAACATTCCTGTCCACAAGGGGGGGCATGACAGAAATTCAATTGAGAACCACTGGTTTAAGCTAAGTTAAGGCAATGTCGTAAACTTTCAGTAAGAGTAAAATTTTAAATAATGCTAAAATCATGTTAGTTATTGTGTGATAATGTATATATTTAAATATTATTTTTGGGCGGTTATTTAGGTTAGGAGCTAATAATAATTTATTTTTCCAAAATTTAAAAAAAAATGTTTTTAGCCACTAGTTCTTAACCATATGGCCAATAGTGGTCAATTTTAATATATTTTATATATTATATTTTACTTTGGTTAAAATTCTATGACTGTATTTAAGCTCTAGAAAAAAATCCATAAAAATCATAAATATCAGGAACAGGTTCCAGATCCAATCTGTTTTTGTCTCCATCGAAACGCCAACAGATTATTTCGCTGTCAGTGATTTTATTCCGATTTTATACACAGCAAACAGGACTGAGGAGCAAGGTCGTCTGGACTAAAGTGGCGCAAAGTTCTAGAGCCTATTTATAAACAATTTATTTATTCATTAAAAACTAGGCAGAGCAGAGTCTTTGACCTCTGTTCTGTTCCAGCAGCGGGATCATCAGCCTGATCCCTGGTCGCTGATCCATGATCTGGAAATTCTCGAGAGAATTTTTAATTATGACTCGTCTGACCTTTAACGGTTTTTAGTCGCGGAAGGACTGGTGACTTTCAGGACTGAAGACTCTAAATTCTGCACTAAAAGTCTGACTCTTCTTAGAGTGCAGGTAAAACATGGCTAGCATTGTTTTTTAAAAAAGCAATAAGATAGCATTTCGGTGAAAAATAGGTTAGAAAAATTAATGCCAATATACATTAGAAGTAGATAGGGTTCAAGAAAATTCAGCACACAATCTAAAAAACCAGCCATAACGTAGTATTTTGGGGAACTCAAAACTGAAATGTTGTTTGGCTAACAGTTAGCATTTCCCTGATTACATCTTCTCTCTTTTTTTCCATCTTTCTTCCTGTGTTTGCGTGAATATTTATGTACAGTTTATGTATTTTATCAACAGTTTTGCTTTTTCCTGCCAGAGAATAAGCAATAACAACATACAGATAATATGTCGTTTTCTATTTATTTATATACTTTCATACGACGAATCCGTGAGTGACTGCAGCCTCGGAGTACACACAGTGTTTGTATCGATGACCTGAACAAATTTAGAGGAAGGGTTTAGACGCAGACTCGTGTTTCACCACTGCTACCTAGTGTTTAATTAAGCGAACTGCAGCAGAGGTAAACAGACACTGTTTATACATGTATTTATTATTTTACGTGAAACCGGAAATGGTGGTTCTTTTTTTATTTTTTGGCAAAAATAATATATTTTTGGCTGGGTGATTTAAGTGTAAGTTTTTTTTTCGGTCTGGCGATACAGCTCAGCTACAGTCAACAGATGAGGTTCTGGAGACGTTTGTCCTTGACAGATGTCCTTCCTTCTACAGCCCTGTTGTTGCTGTGACTGACAATTATTATTTCATTTCACAGGGTTTGGGTATTCCTGGGTGAAAAAAAAAAAAAACTTTACGTTTACACGTTGACCCCATTTTGAAAGCCTGACTCTAATATATTTATTTTAACCCATTTTGGACATGTTTACAAAGAAAGACAATTTTGTCTCATTTTAGCCGCCGCTCAATATAAAATACGACTACGACATATTCCCACGTGGACATGACCATTTTTGTCCACTATCAATATAAAATACGACTACGACATATTCACACGTGGACATGACTATGACATTTTCGAGAGACTTTTGGATGTCCCTTGTGATACTCTTTAACACATTTGACACCTCATGTGTATTTCTTACATCACACATGTGTCAAACTAAGGCCCGGGGGCCAAATCTGGCCCGCACTGTAATTATATTTGGCCCACGAGATCATATCAAATGTGTACTACAGTTGGCCCACCAGTATATAGCTACTATATACTGGCAGGATTTGTAGTATTAGCGATGTATGCGCTATGTTATAGCACATATATATTTTTTTTTTTTTTTGTTGTTGTCCTATGAATAATTATTTTATCATTATTATTATATCCTATTTCAGATTTAATTTCTCATGTGTTTATAATATTAACCCTTGGTTGTTCCAGATTCAATGTTTACGCCAAACTAAAGTTCCAGATTCAATGTTTACGCCAAACTAAAACTGGGAGGGAAAAAAATGACATTACATAATTGCAGTACATTTTTCAATAAATATTCATTTTGGCCCCACTGTGAATTTGAGTTTGACACCCCTGTACTACTGCACATCTTTCTTGACACTGAAACACAAACGACAGGCATCTCTGCTGACTGTCCTCAGCTCACTTCCTCGCTCGGATGACATGACAGTTAGAACTAGTCCCCTCTGTTCCTGTTCCTGCCACCGGCCATACGCTCTCTGATGTCTGATGTCGTTTTTTCAGCTGCTCTCGCCGTGAGTGGCAGCAGTAAACACACCCGCTCCGTGTCAGTAGCTTTAGGCCCACTCACAAAATAGAACCAGTCTCCGAGGAACCTTGCTCTGAGCGCAATCGTGCCCGTGTTTGTAGCGCCTCCTGTTGGCCGGGGAGGGGTTGATTGTATGCTTTGTGTTTTAAGAATAACGTATTGTGTATCGGCGTGCTTTTGGGAATTCGGTGTCGGAAAAGTAAAAAGCTTGTTTTGAAGGGGACATCGGGTATAACGTCGACTTTGTCAGAGTTTTTGGAGACATATTTAGTATCCGCCGACGTCAACGCGACTAACAACGTGTATATTAGGAAATATTCATATTAAATGAAATATATTTTGACAAAACATCACAAAAAAACAAAACATTTTCACGTACAACATTAATCAAACGGGCCGGATTGAACTCCCCAAATGGACTGCTTTTGGCCCGCGGGCCGCATGTTTGACAACCTTGTTATAACATGTCAGATTTGACAACTAAGTAGATGTTTGATTATTTGGCAGAATCTAAGTAATGTGTCTTCACATTGCTGTTCCTACATGCAATACTCTCACCCAACACTAGGTGGCTCCCCCCCCCATACTACCGTACTCCAACCTCTTCCTGAATCCATTATTTTATTTAAAGGCAACAGTTATTTATTTTGGAATTCTGTTTCTACCGTGCGACCCAACACCTTTTTTATCGACTTCCTTTCCGTCCACACTAATATATTATACATAAGCACCTATGTTGGGGGTGTCAAACTCATTTTGGTTCATGGGCCACATACTGCCTGATTAGATATCAAGTGGGTCGGACCAGTACAATCATAACATAATTAACTATAAATAACAATAAGTAATTTCTTTATTCAAAAGTGTGGGCCGGATGGAACACATTAGCGGGCTACTTTCGGCCCCCCCGAACTGTATGTTTGACACCCCCGACTTATGTCATTCACCTAAGCTAGCACAGTGGTAACATCACAGTCTAGGACAGGAGTGGCCAACCAGAGCCGCATGAAACCAGGCAAAGAGCCACTTGCGGCCCCCCGAGCCACGGGTTGGGCCATGCCTGATCCAGGACATAAAAACATCAGCAGAGTCTTAAGGGTACACTTAATACTTACCCTCAAGTCAAGTCATCTTTGTTCCAATGTTGCCAGCATTATCCAGTCCATCCGGATCAAGACGAGCTTGTTTACGTAGCTACTGAAACCACCAGGGAGGGAGGACCCAGACGCAGATCGGTTAAAACAGGGCGATGTCAAACTTATTTTCCAATCAGAGGAGGGGAGCCACATCAGCAAAAAAAAAAAAAAAAAAAGTGCCGCCTCTCGACGGTGTTACGTTTGGTAGGAAGCAGGCGGGACCTAAATGCGGGGGGCCAGGGAACAGAACAAATCAATGATCCCTACGAGGACAGAGTGATAGAGAGAGAGGTACATGCACGGGAACAGAACAAATCAATGATCCCTACAAGGACAGAGTGATAGGTGACACCAGGTGACACCAGTGAGAGTGATGACAGAGACACAGGTGAGTGTGATCACACTGATTACCTCCCCACAGCAGACAGCAGGAACAGGAAACAGACCGAGCTCACAGAAGGGTTAGTTGTAACTGTAAGAGTGCAGGCCATACAAAATGACTCAGCGGGCCCAAATTTGGACCCCGGACCTTGAGTTTGACACAAGTTAAAAATGTAATTCTGAAACATGAAATTAGAAATTACAGCTTTATAAAAAAACATCTGAACTGTTTTACTTTCCAAACCATCAACTCATCACCATAACAACAAATACTGTCAGTGTGGAGGTGGGGTGGTTGGTCAGTACTAACCAAAAGGGTGAAAGGAATTGGGAGTGGGATGCTGGGTGTGGAGCAGCTGACGCAGTTTACCCTCAATACAGATGAGGGAGACGGGAGATGAAAAAGGGTGAGTTTGCAGAGGAGAGTGAGACTGGATTGCAAATGAAGAGGGGGCTGAGGAACTGGAACTGTTCTGCAGCAGAGAAGAGAGAGTACTACAAGGAAAAGAAAAAACGTCGTTACCTGCCGTGCGTCTGTGCTCGGTGTCAAAGGATCATACGAGTGACGGTCGGCTCATTGTTTTCTTAGAAAAAAAAAAAACATCTCTGAAACATCAAACTTTGTTCCTTTTCACAACAATCTGTCTGCAGGATATGTAAAAAAAAAAGTCAGTTCCTTTTTACAACCTTTTACTTTTCAAAAATATGACTTATTTTTTTATTGTGTTTACTCCGATTCAAACCGTATTATTTGGATTCTATTTTCAACCAATTTCAAATGAGCTTTTGAGTTAAAAAAAAAATACAATTTTTTTTTGGCTTTCCTCGTCCATTACGAGTAACTTAATAACCCTATTTGGGCTATTTTTGTGTACTCAAAAAAAAAAACACAACACAAAAGCAATGACATTACCTTCGTTATTGACCTTCTTCAAAAAGAAATTCACCTTCGACAAAACGTTAAAAACAAAAAATAAAGCAGAGATTCAGTGAATTGAGAGGGTTTTTAATTCATGTTTTCTTTTTCTTTTTTTTTTCGTTTTCTTTAAAAATATTTTATACATTTTTTTTTGGTATAGAAAATGTATAAAACATGAGCAACGGACATTCCTGAATGTTTCACACACACAGCAGTGCTCAAAGAAAAAGCAGGTTTCTCGGCATATGAACATCAACAAAGCGGTTTGGTCAGTGTCGGTTCTGATTGTCAGAATCATTTTTGATAAATATATATAAATATATATATATATTTCACCATTAGCACATATATATGAACATAGTTTTGGCTGATTTATCACTGTGGTTCAATACCCTGTCTGTCCTCATGTCTGGCTGCAGAGTTCACCGGAGTGAAATGACCTCACGCTGCAGACACCAGCACTTTACCGTTGCGACTGTTCAGGATCAATATGACTTACTGTAATCCACAGCAGGGCTGCCAACAGTGAGGCCACGGACATCCACAACAGAAAGGGATAGAGAGTGAGAGACAAGAGGACAGAGTCCACAGACTCCGGAGAATGACAAGAGGACAGAAGTCAAGAGGACACGTTAAAAAAAACAAAAAAAAACCAAAACAAACAACAACCTTGAGCTACGCTACAAATACAAAAGGATTTTGAGATTCAGCTAGAAAAAAAAAAAAGAGATGAAAACACTGTACTCCACAATCTGACTCTGATGACACGCTGGAAACAAAACATCTTTACGGTAAAATATCCAGCTAAATATTTTTTTGTAACTAATTTGGTTGAAAACTTAGGCTAGTACTGGGATCATCTCTCCGAGATACTTGAAAATTCTTATCCAAATTATATACCGTATTTTCCTGATGTATAAGTCGCTGAGGAGTATAAGTCGCAACAGCCAGCTAGAGTGCCCTCTAGTGGCTGTCAGTGTGAAAATAACAAATGTGAAATTATATATTTTTTAATATATATTTTTGGAGTATCAAGCTACTTCTCAACTAGCTTCTAGGGCTTTTTTAATTTTTTCGTATTTTCCGGACTTTAGTAAGTCGCTGAGGAGTATAAGTCGCAACAGCCAGCTAGAGTGCCCTCTAGTGGCTGTCAGTGTGAAAATAACAAATGTGAAATTATATATTTTTTAATATATATTTTTGGAGTATCAAGCTACTTCTCAACTAGCTTCTAGGGCTTTTTTAATTTTCGTATTTCCCGGACTATAAGTCGCTCTGGAGTATAAGTCGCAACAGCCAGCTAGAGTGCCCTCTAGTGGCTGTCAGTGTGAAAATAACAAATGTGAAATTATATATTTTTTAATATATATTTTTGGAGTATCAAGCTACTTCTCAACTAGCTTCTAGGGCTTTTTTAATTTTTGTATTTTCCGGACTTTGGGTCGCTCCGGAGTATAAGTCGCAGCTAGAGTGCCCTCTAGTGGTGTTCAGTGTGAAAATAACAAACGTGAAATTATATATTTCTTTAATATATAAGTCGCACCTGAGTAAAAGTTGGAAACCCTGCCAAAGGATGAAAAAAAAATGCGACTAATGTCTGGATATTTGACTTTTTTCCCCCCCAATTGTGTTGCAAACATATTTCTACGTAGCAATATAAGAAGAAATATAGTGAACATCCACAGCTACAATAAACGCCACAATACGGGCTTTTATTAACTTTCTACTGGATTTACAAAACTACTCCAAAACCTTTTAATTATTTCACGCGACTACAAATATGACGCCGCGGTGGTAAACAGGTTTCGGGAGGTCGTCTCTGAATCAGGTACGATTTGTGTTTTCGTAAAGTTTTCAGTGCTTGAAGCTTGAAGGAAAACGCGAATATAGACAAAGAGGTCAGAGGTAAATAGGATGATTTTTTTGATGATGTAATTACAATCACGAAATAATAAACTGATAAATACAGCTAAAATGAGATGAGTGCATTTTTTTTTTTTTTTTTTTACCTGGCGGAGAAAAGTAGAGACGGTGTGTCCACTGACAGGAGGAAATACAAAGATACAAAGGTACAGGTATAAATTTAGTGAAGAAGCTGCACAGCCGGACAAGAAAAAAAGACAGAAAAAAAAAAAGATGAACCTCAGGATTCTGTACAAAGCCCCAAAACTTTGGAGAATAACTGCTCCATGAACTCATAATATGTATCTGTTCCCTCATTATTTTAATACATGAAAATAGAAAAAACAAACGCGGCTTTTTACACAGTATTTTGGGGATTCAGAAAATAAATAACTTTGCTGTGGCCTTAAAAAAAGGATCTCATTTCTAAATATACTTTTTATGTATAGAATTCATATAAACAGCATTTTAAAACCGAGCGTGTGAAGCATCGCGAGGAACTGCATCGAAGAAATGGACAGAAGTAGATCCATTGCTTTACGGAGTCTAAATATGTGATGGTAAAATTCAGTAGATCGTCTTTCTTTTTTTTTTTTTTTCCCCCCATCTGTTTCACTACCTTCAGTTCTTCTCTTGTATAAGATGTATTTTTAATAAAAAATATTTTTTTTCTATTTAGAGAAACAGACGATAACACGGGGGGGAGCGTGGGGGGATCTCAGTCTCAAGTCCATGGAGAGATGACGAGTGACTTCAGTGACTATGAATTCACCTAATCTGCCTCTTTTTTTTTTTTTTTTACTCTCTCTCTCTCATGCATTTTTTCAAAACTGTATCGCGATTTTTTTTTTTTTTTTAATTTGCCTCTCCTATTTAGAGCAGAAACAAACGGCTCGAACCATGAATTTCCCGTGAAAATATATTGCTGATATTCAACAGTATGGAGAAAAAAAAACAAATCTATATATATATATTTCTATAATAATTCCCAGTGTAGCCAGTTCCAGGGCTTTATTTATTATATACAGTCTGTCTTTGATTTCTTGTGTGTTTGTGCCGCGGCCTCTCTTCAGTCTCTTCAACCGGTTCTGTTGAAACTGTACCCGATGGACAGCAAATGCCATTCAACAGTAACACAGTGTTTAACAGGCCAGCAGTAATAGAGAGAAATGTAGATTTTTTTTTTTTTGGTTTGTTTTTATCAAAATAATTCATTAATAAAAAGCTTTTAAATATCTGAAAAAGCCTTTTACGTTCATTCTTTTTTTCTTAATTTTCACCTCCATTTTCTGGAAACATCTGTTAAGGTGCTCCTCACCGTAGCTCTGAGACGTCTGGATTCTTCTTGAGAAACAGTTTTGCTTAATCTCAAAGTTGTTGGATTTCATGGCACCGTTTAGCATCGAGTCCTCACGCGTTCCCGTGGTGAGCTTCCCTTCGCAACATTCAAAGTCCAGTGAGATTCAAGGAAGGAACGAAACTCGACGGAAACGTCAAAAATAATGAAGTGGCACGTTTGGTAGAAGACGTTTGGTAGAAGACGTTTGGTAGAAGACTCGAGTCTCTGCTGTTAATCTGATGGCTGTTTTCCTGTTTTTGGTCTGTTCTGCTGTTCAAGTCCATAGATTATAATCCAAAAATATCAATGGCAAAAATGGAAAAAAAAAAATGATCATATTTATGTCACAAAAAAATTGTGAGTAAACAATAATAATAAAAAAAATATCCTGAGGTCAAACTGACCGGGCTGAGTTGTAAAAAAATAAACATCTACGAAAAAAAAAAAATTTGAAGTCCAAATTCTCTCCAGTCAAATTTTAGGTTAAAAAAAAAAAGAAAAAAAATACTCAGTATATTTTATAAACCTAAATTTTGTTTCATTTTATTTACCTTTTTTTTTTTTTTTTTATAACAATTCTCAAGGTTCGATCGTAAAACCTTACGTGTCCAATTTAGTGGCGGAACAACAGACTCAAAAACTCAAACAACTGACGACAGCAATTTGACTTGACATTTTCTTATCGTTTTTTTGGTTTTTTTTTGGTACAGTGTATTAAGCGAGTTTTCTATCGGAACAATTTTTTATGGTTTTTTTTGTTTGTTTGGTTTTTTTTTGTATGGGGTTTGTTTTTTGTTTGGTTTTTTTTGTAGGCGGGTATGGGGTTTGTTTTTTTGTTGTTTTTTTTTGCTTCAGTGTAAGTTCAGCTGTAGTCCGGCAGAAATTAAGCTTCCGCGGGCTCCGTCTTTATCTGGATAAAGTTTGCGGGCAGTTGGACGGAGAGCGGCAGCTCATGCAGGTCTTTCATTTGCTGCTCCTGTTGCTGCAGAGATATCTCTCCTCGCACCTCCAGCTCCTCTACGGGAGTCAGGCCCTCACTGGGGCTCCTGCTCTGCGACTGATGTCCATTCACCAGGGTTTCGGATGCCAACTCGTGGCTCAGGCTCCCATTGGCGTCAATAATCACCGTCCTGTACTGAAGCTCCGCCTCCCCGGCCTCCATCGTCTCTTTGTCGAAGGTGTGCGCGACCAGGGACGGATCTCCGTTCACCATCGAGTGGAAGTAGCAGGCGTCCAGCATCTCGTCCTTGACGTGAAGCCCGGAGAGCTCGCTGGATTTGAGGACGGTGGCGATGACGGTGCCGGGCTGCTGCGCCACCATCGTCTGCCCCCCGCTGGTGTTGATGGTAACCAAACGTGGGAGGCCATTGATGCAATTGACTCCTGAAGGAGAGGTGCACGATGTGGAGGAGGACGAGACAGCGGAGGAGCTCAGACCGGTGACCAGGAGCTGCTGTGGAAGACCGTCCTCCAGACAGGAAGCACCGGTTACCAGAGGAGATGTTTGGATGGTGAGAACATCTTTAGAGGTTCCCCCGTTGGACGGCATGGCGTGCAGGATAACTCTGGGTGGAGATGAATGAGCGGAGCTCCCGTTGGACAGAACGGTGGTGAGAGGGACCGACTGAAGCGACCCAGAGGTCGCCAGGACCATGGGCAGCGATACGGGAGCGGCGATGCTCCTGAGGAGATACGAAAAACAAGAATGGAAGTTCAGATGACATTTGAATGAGTTCTTCGGCAAAATTTCGGAAATTCCTAAAGTGTGATGGCTTTCATCATTTCCGTACGTGTCAAGGGTGCAGTGATTTCCTTGTTAGCTCATTCGCTTGACTGTTGTGGTGCTCTTGTTTTTTTTTTAAATCTTTAATAATACCCAGGTTATTGAATGGCAATTTTGTACTACCGTATTTTCCAAACTATAAGTCGCGAGTATGTAAGTAAGGTTCGCCAAAAATGCATAATGAAGAAGAAAAGAACATGTATACAAGTTGCAGCAGTGCCCTCTAGTGCTTGCGAGTGTGAAAATAACGAACATTTTCAGTGGTACAGGAGTAGCAGATATTGGTACACAAGCCTAGAGTGCCCTCTAGTGGCTGGCGGTGTGAAAATAACAAACATGTGAAGCATATATTTTGACATATAAGTCGCAAACCCAGTCCAAGGATGAAAAAAGGTGCGACTTATAGTCCAGAAAATAAGGTAATCGGTTTAAAATGTTACACATGTTTTGTTCTGACAGTAAATCCTTAAAAAAACAGAGCAAAACACAACATTAGAAATTTGAGAAATATCTTCACAAAACAAATGGCTGGATATTTGTTCAAATGAGCACAGATTAAATACTAATGGCCAAAAAAAACAGCAAATATGAGATAAATACTTTTAAAGATAAAAAAGAACCAAAGGTTCACATCAAGCAGGTAAACACGAACCGCATGTGGCTAAAGTGACTTTGACGTTTTTACCTCATAACTTCTTGAGCCCCCGAGCCCTGATGAGACTGAAAGACCTGGACAGACTGCAGGAGCTGTGCACTGTGTCCACCCAGTCCAGCATGTCCTCCAGATGCCTCCTCCTGGTACAAGTATTCATCTTGAGGCTCCTTCTTCATCTGCTTCACGTGCTGCTGGTTCTGACTTCTGCTGTGACCTTTGGAACCTCCTCGAACCACGGACCTGCCGTTGGTGGATCTCTGGTTGCCGTAGCCAGCGTTGGCCTCGCTGTTCATGTCCTCGTCCTCGATCACCACCAGATCGGCAGGCATCTCCTTGAACTGATAGACCAGCCGCTGGCCCTCCACCTTAGCCAGGATCCCTCTTTGATAGTAGTACCTGCAGAAGAAAAGACAAGGATGATGACAAGTCCTGAATATTTGAAAAATCAGACCAGGAGTTCAATTATTTATGAGATTCATCAAATGGTTACCGCAATTCCCGGACTATTGAGCGCACCTGAATATAAGCCCATTACATTTAAAAATAATTGTACATATATAGGCCACGCGTCTCTATAAGCCGCAGATGTCCACGTTGTAACATGGGATATTTACACAGAAAGATTTTTTTTAACTTTTAATTAAATAAATGTATTTTTCCGAACAGTGCCCGTAACACGGCTAGCTACATGTTAGCTCTTTCCTGCTTCGGCGCCCAAATCCGTAGTTGGAATGCACAGGGGAGACTTAGTGATCTGCTCTAGGGTTGAAGCTAACATTAGCTTCGAGGCTAACTCTCTTCACTTTGCGCTCGTCCGCAGCAGAGGTAAACAGAAACAGAGAAGTCGGGGTCTTTATTATCAGCCAGAGTTTTGACAGATCCTGTATAACCAACTCACGCATATATAGGCACACGGCCAATCACAGACAGACATACGCCACTAGTATAACACACAGGAGCCGACCAGAAAAGTCATTGGTCACTAGCGGTATGAACTTCGTTAGCCCGTAAAAATCCATAAATTAGCGGTTTAAGGTGTGTGCAAAAAAATAGCGACTTATAGTCCAGAAATTACGGAAGTGTTTCAAATATGGCTAAATAGCAGCTGGACGGCAAAAAAAAAAAAAAGAAAAAATATATTTCTTAATGTAAACAAAAAACAGAGAGAACATAAAAAACAGCCGAAACACGGAAAAACAGGAACATGGAAAATCCAAAGTTTTGTTCGTGAAAAAAAAATGTATGTGTTGTAATGTGTATTCCCCCTTTTAAAAAAAAAGTGAAAAAATAAATAAATTTAAAAACCCCGAGCCTTGCTCCTTGCCCTCCTCCTTCATCTCCAGGTTCTCCTCACCTGAGTGCTCTCCCCATGGTCTCATAGTTCATGTCAGGCTTGTTCTTGTGTTTCCCCCACAGCTTGGAGACAGCTTTGGAGTCCACCAGTTTAAAGATTCCCTTCTCTCGCTGTGTCCACTTGATGTATTTGGGACAAGTGTTCTTGTCCTGCAGGAGAGCCAGCAGGAACTCCCAAAGGTAGATGGTGTTTCCTGCACACAGGCGAAAGGAGAAGACAACAATTCAGGTTGTCATCCTCATTCGCAGTGAGGCCTGGTAGCTGCACACCCGACGTCTACCACTTGTTTTAATTTTAAGTGTCCAACAATAGTTCGGGGCTTAATTCAGGGCACGACAAATACGTTCTCTCTGTAACCACAGGTGGGAAGTGTGTGTGGCTGCAGCTGGTAAATTCATTATCCTGAGCTCGGGAGTGGATGCATCTCATTTGTGAGACACGGAGGCCAGAAGTGGTTAAAAACAGAACCAGTCCCAGCAGTCACGGTGACAAAGTGATGTATATCTGTGCAACACAGCCTTGGTGTCTCCACCCTCCTGTCTGTGTCACAGTGCTGTGAACAATAGGACCTGAGCAGCGTTCTTTGCCCTGCAGCCTGTAATCATTTCTGTTTCTCTGAGAAACTCCGCAGCAGCAGCAGCAGCAGCAGCGGCAGCAGCAGCACTCGGAGGATAACTACTGGACTGAAAAGGTTTGAGGTCAAATGTAAAATTAAATTAGGAAAAACCCAAGATGAAAATAGTATCAAGGTGTATAGTGTAACAAAAGACACACAATTTTACATTAGATTATTATTAGATAGATAGATTAGCTAGATAGCTAGGTAGGTAGGTGGCTAGCAAGCTAGCGATGAAGGTATTTAGCTAGATATTTTGATATATCAATAAATTGATAGATAGAAAGTAAGAAAGAAAGAAAGACTAACTAGTTAGCTAGGTAGGTGGCTAGCTAGCTAGCTAGATATAAAGATAGATAGATAGATAGATAGATAAATAGATAGATAGACAGATAGATAGATAGATAGATAGATAAATAGATAGATAAATAGATAGATAGACAGATAGATAGATAGATAGATAGATAGATAGATAGATCGATAGATAGATGGATAGGTTAGATAGGTTAGATTAGCTAGTTAGATTGCTAGGTAGGTAGATGGCTAGCTAGCTATCCAGCTATAGATAGATAGGTGGATGGATAGATAGATAGATGGATGGATGAATGGATAGATGGATAGATGGATGGATGGATGGATGGATGGATAGATGGATAGAAAGAAAGAAAGAAAGAAAGAAAGAAAGAACCCTCGGGAGTTCCGCTTGTTGGTCAAAACTATTGCAGACATAAATAGCAAAAATATATCCTGAAGTAGCAAACAATTAAATTATATCTAACATAGCTAAATGTTAGCCAAAAAACAGTTAAGATACATTTTAAAAACTGGTGAAAGGTTAGATTTGGATGGTTTTATTAGCTCCATCAGAAGAAACAACAAACAAAAGATGTTCATCATCTTGTCCCCAACGACACTGACCTTTACCCTCTTTGCTTTTCTTCTTTAGTGGCAGATTTGGAGTGGTGATGGGGGAGCAGGAACGAGCCACTCTCGGTTTACGCACTGACAATGAAAGCAGGAACAGGAAGTGGGTTAGAACAGGAAGCAGTGAAATTAAGATCAGTGACAGGAACAAAAAACACATGTTCTGCTAAACCTTTATTCTTCTTCTGGGGCTTCAGTGGACACTTTGGAGGAACATCGTCAATGGAGGACGTGTCCTCATCCAGAGACATGTCCAGAGCACTGCTATCCATCTGATCTGGCCTCAGGGGGGCGTAGTTCAGGTCCGACTCCAGCAGAGTGCTATAGGCGTGAACTGAACAACAGATACGGGAAAGCATTCATTCAACTGCATTTTGACGAATTTATTAGGGTATCTTAAATCATGTTTGGCTTTCCAAGGGTATTTTTAAGCTATTTTGGGGGGGGGGGATTTTTTGCTCACATTTTGTTGTTGTTTTTTTGTTAGCCTTTAGCTGTTAGCAAAGCCTTTTGTCTGACCTTATGCTAAAAGTTGAATCAACTCCAAGGTTTTTTTTTAATAGCAAAACAAAAGGATATTTTCAGCTAATAGGTGTCCACGTTACAGTTGATGTTTAGCTTTACTTAGCTACATTTACACAAACCTAGCCTGTCAAGTGCCAACTTTTTGTGAGGCTTCTTGTTCCTCTAAAGATTTGGCTTGTTTTTTTTTTTTTTATTCTGTCAGGAACCTGATACTTTCAACCCACTTCTGGATAACTGTGGCAAGCATTTGTTTACCCATTGCATCAGAAAGCATCATTTTGGACACAATTTAATTTAACGCACTCATTCTCTTCTCGTCCAGAATGTTGTTCGGAGATTCCATGTTGAGCAGAGCCGCAGCAGCTTCACTCGTCTCTATGCTGTCCTCAGCTCCGGAAACTGTGGTTTCTTCACAAACACAAGAGTCCACGTCATCGTCACACAATCTCACGGAATTTTTTACAGAGAAGAAAACGTATTCATCTGTAAGAAATCGGTAAGTTCATCGTTCGTTTTAATCGACTCGAATCTGTTCGTTACCTGCGAGGTCAACTCCTCCCACCATGATGGAGGGTTCCTCCACCACGTGGTGACTGGTGTCCACGATAATTCCATTAGACACTTCATCAGACTCCAGTCCAGAGTATACCTGCAGCAAATCAGTGGCAGGAACCTGCTCCACGATGACTGCTGGAAAAACTGACGGGTCATCCAGCTGAAAGATTAATGCAAAGTATTAATGCAAAAGTGAATTAGTTTAACTTAAAGGTACCAAAAAGCACAGAAGAACAATATTGACAGTGCTAATATTTCTATCATATAAATTCGACTTCTTCCATTAGCCTTCATTAGTTTTTGTTTCATGTTTTCAAACGGTTTTACCACCTACTGCCAACTCACCACCAGTAGATGGCGGCAAACGACCTCTTTTAACCATGACACTTTTAGCAGGAAAAAATGACTTTCGGCTTTCATTGTAATAAATGTTATTAGACCGAGTCATATGGGGATAGAGAGAGTCAGTCAGCTGAACAGGACAAGTTTAGACACCGCAGTTTTCTGATATAATGTTTCTGTCAGAAGAAGTGAACAGAGTTGAGAGTAATGGGTGGAAGGGAATGTGACAGTCTGACCAGATGACCTCTCTCACTGCACCAAAGCCTGAAGTGTTAGGCTTCAGAAAAAAAAACAAAAAACTATGTTTTAAATCTCACTGTGAAGAACTTTTAAATCACTCTAACCTTCAGTCGGTCTTGATGATAAAGTCTCGAGTATAACGTGTATAAAATGTTATGTCTGAAATGAGGCAGATGCTGCAGCTGCTCCAGACATGTCTGACACGCTCCAACAGCCAAACCTGATAGGGACCATAGTCTAAACAGTGGCATAGCTGGGCAGGAGCGGAAGAAAGGGAGGAAGGGACCACGGCATGGCACCCAGTTGGTTTGTTTTAACAAAACTGTTGGCGTGTATGCTGACAGGACAAACTCCTGTGCTAAAACAAAATGTTGATTTTAATGTTCCATTGCTCTCTAATTAATTGGGAAAAATCTATTCAAATATATATCAATTAAGACAATGTTTTTTCCCTGTGCCTGTCTGTATTCTGAACAGGAACTTTTCTATTGTCATTTTTGAAACAAACAAACTTCTGTTCCATGTCAAAACTCAAGAATGTTTGTGCTGTTTGTTGCTCTGATGTTAGATGGACACATTGGTTAACAAACAATCCAGTTTAGCACACTTACTGAACTGGATCCAGAGAAAGAACATGGACCAAGAAACGTGTCGATGCAGATATCATGTATGTACTGTATGCATGTGTGCATGTATGTGGAAGAGGAGGGGTTGGTGGTTTCAGAACATACTGTTCATGCAGCTGTGGATGACATAACCATGTTCTACAAAGAGGGTTGTTGGAGCCATAGTGGGAGCCTGAGCAAAACACACACACACACACACCTTTGGTTTAAGTAATGTGACATGACAGCAAACAGGTCTGGTCACATCTCACCACCTCAGGTTGCAAATTGACCTTTAGGCCATTCCAGCTGACTATCAAGCCTAACTTTCTTAACAGCTGCATTCTGTCTCTGCAAAACCAGTCTCTGTGAAGTTTTTTTTAAACCACAGCAGATAAAATAGATCATATAATTAAGCCTCATTTAATGGCCTCATTTGGTGTTCAGAAAATTAGCTCAATGTTCTGTGCAGCAGTCAGTGAGTGGAAAAGCACACAGTGTACCAGAGGAGTCCTCCCGCTGCACTCACACTCCCTGAGAACTGATTCAGAAAGTTACAGCAACTTCTGAGGCTGTACTACTACAGTACTAAGTACACATAAAAGTGTGAATATTCCTAAACAGTCAAGAATAATGAACAGTTGAACAATGCTCTAATCTTACCTGGTACCTCTCCGTTGGTCCCCTCTGGTTTCACTCCTGGTCTTTTCTCTTGATCAACAGACTGTGAAGATGACGAGGAGCACCCCATGGTTTCCTTAGGAGATAAAACAAAACCCCAGATCGGAGAAACAAAAGATTTTCAGAGAAATGCAGTCCTAACGCTCTGTTTTTAGCACAGATTGTGACACTGACATAAACTAAAGGCAGCTCAGTTCCTATCTGGACACCAAGTCTCCCTGACTGAGTCTATACATGGCCTGTTGGTCTCTGGGCTCAGATAATGATCTGTTGTGAGCAAAGGGCAGAGCAGAGCAGAGCAGTCAGTGCAGCCGAGTGTCCCTTCACTCGCTCCGATCACGCTCTCTATTCATACACAGATAAAGGAGCAGGCACATGTGCTCCAAGTGAGTGCGTGTCCCCTCCCCTTCCATGCGCGGCCCTGGAAAAGGTCTACCACCTTGTGGTTATGTGTGGTGTAGCAGCGCCCACTTCGCTGGTCTGCTTACAGTGTTAAGAAAGAACCAGTTACTGCAACAATCAGTAACAAAGTTGACTTTATTATAATAAGTGTTTGTCAGATTTTGCTTTAAGGAGATATTTTATTTTATAATTTCCATTGATGAGTTAAATAATTCAGATTACATATTTTAACACATGGATGGACTCACGCAGAGAGAAAATGTCGACTGCGCCGTTGGAGGTGCAGGTAGAACAGGTAGAGTGGGTGCACAGTGAAACAACAGAGGAAGCGGAGGGAGAATTAAGGAGCAGGGAGAAAAAAAAAATGATCAGTGACAATAGGAATGGAACTGGTCGTACAGGTTGAGCCTGAAACAACTGCTGCTTCTGCTGCAGAGCCTGGGTTCACTGGAACCCGGAGCGTTGCATAATGCAGTTAAATAAAAGGACACCCACAGCCAACCACGCACACAGGCACACGCAACCTTTACAATATCTCATCACGTCTTGTGCGCATCGTAATTTTTTTTTAACATCGTAATGTAACTCACTGAGAAAAAAAATTTTTTAAAAAATTCATCCAATGCATAACATTGGTTTTCTTCACTTTTTTACGCTGTTCAAATATAAATGAAGAAATAAATAAATATTTCAATAGACACACAATTAGACAGTTCAATAATAAGAATAAGACTAATAAAAAAGTTTATAAAGATGAAACTTCTTCAGTGTGACTTGTGGCCTACCTGGTTTATTTCATCCATCCCATTGCTCGCAAACTCGAACACCAGTTCCGTGGGCTGCACCGCCGTAGTCATGGCGCTGGGGTTTAGTGGGTCCCAGCTCGGACTCCTCTTGCTCCCTCTTTCGCTGTCTCCACACGCACGCACACTCGGGACTCCACTTCACCAGACTGGGGTCTTCTTCCGTGCTCTGGTCGTCTGATCAGGACGGTCAGAGCTCAGAGAGAGAACGAGAGCCAGGTTTCAGAAGAGTTCAGGCCGCCTTGTCCCTCGCTGATCCTGAGGCTGGGTCCTCTGAACATCTACACCTGAGACGGAGCCACAAACGGAGGGGAGAGGAGCCGAGGGTTAGATGAGCAGCAGCAAGATTGGAGGCCTTTACCTTATCATTATTAACAACGTCAAAGAACAACACAAGTTCCAAAACCGGCATCTGCGGTACTGGTATGGTGTCAGATCTGTGAAGGCACCATTAATATTAATCATAATTATTAGTCTCCTGTCAGAGCGAGACAGAATTTCAAGTAGCATTCATATTGTCAAGTTGAAATTTCCATCTAGTTGAATCGGCTTGAACCCTTTGAGGTTAAATACCGAGACCTCATTTCAAATTGAGTTGAAATCTCTTAAGTCACTTAGGCCATGATCGGGGAGGTGATTTTTGTTATTATTGAACATTATTTTTGTTTCAAACATCCCTTCAACATCATTGGAATTAACATTAGTAAAATGCACCAAAGACCAGGTCGGTTATATCCAATCCACGCGCGGGCAAACTACGGCCCGGGGCCCGGATGCGGCCCATTCGGCTTTTTGACGCGGCCCGCCAAACCTTTCCAAATCATATAATTTAATTTCTATTATCATTTTACTTCTGTCTTCTCCCTGCAATACCCATGTTTCCCAATAGATGGCGTAGATAGAAAATGATAAAAGGATTTTAGCATTTTAGCCTTTATGTATGACTTTAAAGTACACGAAAGCTCCATCTACCTGCTCCTCACCCCCCCCCCCCCCCCCCCCCTGCT